GTTCCTTTACAAGTCCTACCTATCCTACCATCCCAGCAAAGCCTGGGTGGCATTATATATATATACATATATTGTTCTATATGTCATGACCTCAATGCAGTAACTGTAGTTTATGCTTCTTAGCCTGAATAATTCTTCTCATTGCTCTGATAGGTACCGTGCCATTACAAGTGCTTATTATCGTGGAGCTGTTGGTGCTCTACTTGTTTATGATGTCACAAGACATTCTACATTCGAGAATGCAGCAAGATGGTTGAAGGAACTGAGGGAGCACACTGATCCAAACATTGTTGTCATGCTCATTGGCAACAAATCAGATCTTCGACACCTTGTAGCAGTTAAAACAGAGGATGGGCAAACTTTTGCAGAGAGGGAGTCCCTGTATTTCATGGAGACTTCTGCCTTGGATGCAACTAATGTGGAAAATGCCTTCACTGAAGTTCTTACCCAGATATATCGTATAGTGAGCAAGAGGGCTGTTGAGGGAGGTGGTGATGGAGCTTCTTCTGCTGTTCCTTCAAAAGGAGAGACAATAAATGTCAAAGATGACACGTCTGTCCTCAAGAGAATCGGTTGCTGCTCAAGCTAGGGTTTGTCTTGGATTCTGGTTGATTTCCCAGCATCGGTTTATTTCTTTTTTATACAGTCACAGGGAGTATTGACGTCTAGAATGGTAGTCTTGTATGACAGTATTGTCTTCAATGATAGTCCCAGAGGCTAGATTGCAGAAAAAGTGACTATAATAACCAGACTTTGTGGATTTCTTCCTTCTGTACTTGAATTTAAGCAGTCATATCTATTGTTTTATAACATCTTTAAACCCCTGAGGCATAAAGGTTGGGGTTTCAGGTTTTAACCCTCAAGAGTCTTGGACTGTTTGCTATTTTATTTAGGTTTTCAGATTTTAACCCTCTTAAAGGTTCTTGGATTGTTTGCATCCAAGGCAGTTTTAGTACACGTTATACAACTGAATTAGTTGGTAGGAGGATGAGTTTGAGTTTAAATTTTCATTTGATAAAATCAAAATTGGAATGTAGTGTAAATGAAAGTTAATTTTATGGATAATTTTTGTGGTGAAAAGTAAAAATATAAATTTGAAAATATAAATACAATTCAGTATAGGTTGTATTTTAAATAAATATTATAACTAAATAAATTACATATAGAAATAAATCCATTGTTTTAATATGTTAAGAAAGATTATTGTAAAGATAACATATAAAATCTTAAGAAACTACTGTAATGGTTATAATATAATATGAGAACATGTTTTGTTGAAATCACAATGTAGCCAAATTTTGTAGTCCCTCAATCTCTACTTGGTAGATTGAAGACTTTCCAGTTGAGGATTAGCAATCTTTATATGGCAGAGCATTTCTATTCCAGATTGAATGAAATGTAAACTAATGATTCTAAAGAACAAGAAGGCACCTTCAAAGATAATCTCAAGATTATCAGGTATAATATAACAGCATGAAGAAACTAGGGTATCAACCAAAAATGACAGCACCAGAGAAAACTATCCAAGTAAAGAAGAAACAACACGAAGGAACTTGGAAGAGAGAGAGATAGATTCCAGAGGCAGCAACTGAAACTTACTGAAAACAAACAACAGTCATAATAATTTTTTCGCTGCAACCCCTTTTGTAATTTGCAGGTACTGAAGCTGCTTGAAGAAACTGAACCCAAGAGTTGAGGAGCAGCTGACAACTAGAGGCAAGCTTTTGGTCTAATAGTGCATTTGTGTTGGCAATGGAAACACTGGTTCTCGTTTTTATATTAAAGGCTTGTTGTTCACTAATAATACAAGGTTTCAGTTTCAGTGAGAAATGAGGAGAAGACCAATCATACAATTTCGAAGTGCTAGGAATGCTGAAAGAATAAGATAAAGTGAGGAGTGTACTTCCACTTTCACTGGGCATAGTGGGCTTCCCAGTATATGAGTTTGAGAAAAACCCAAAATCAGAGGAAGTACCGTCATATAGTTCTTCTGGTCTCAATTCAAACAGCAGTGGGGACTGGGGAGTCTATTGATTTCAATACTTCTTCACCCATTTTCTTGCATCCCACCAATTTCTGCTCAAGCAAAATGGATGCCATTAATAATCATCAAAGCAATATAGTAATGTTTGAATGCAACTGCTTCTAAGTACTGTAAAATAAATCACAGGGATGCAAATCTTTATCACCTAACAGAAAATTTCAATCACCAAAATATGATTTGTTTTCATCAAGACTTGTTCCATAAAACCAGAAGAAAGAAAATTTTTTATTTTGCTCGAAATCAGAAAGACCTCAATGGTTTCCTTCTATCAGTTGGTTACTGCCTTCCCAGCACCCATTACCCCAGACAAGAAGTTATCTTGTCAAGCAGACCATCCCTGAGTTGCTGCTTAACATACAACATGAGTAAATGAATATACAAAAGACATTCTTTTAGATACTGTTGGTTCAATTTTCATTCAATTCTTATCTTATTCCTTCATTTATTATATTGATAAGTAGGATTAAGTTATTATATTCATATGTGAACTACGTCCAGTCTCACCTTCAATTTCTTGGATGAACTTTTAATATCCATTTTGAAAAGCCAGAACAGAGAACCTATCTCCCAAAGAATTCAGGAATGGCATGGAGGATTTTTTAATATAATTTCTTTTTAAAATAATTTTTTAATATAAAAATTATAATGTAATCTTACCTAATGAAGTTATAAATAAGGAAATGAATTGGAGTAAAGCAAAATGGACATTAGTGGCTACTCCCATCTTATACATAGAAAGGTTAGAACTTTGGGTGCTGAACTTTATACATAACTTGTATGGAAAGAATCCAGGAAAAATAAAGATGGCTGCTTGCTTGATATATGTTTAGTAACAGACAAATAAGAAGAATGAAAAAGAACAGCTTGGCAAGAGAACATTCAAGATTGACAGCGCCAGAAAGAAAAATTAGGCAATAGATGGATAAGAAGAGCGAAAGAGAATTGCTCAGCAAGAAAACATTCTGGATAGACAGTACTGGGAAAAATATGTTAGGCAGTAGGCAGACAAGAAGAGTGAAAATTCTCAGCAAGATAACATTCCAGAAGGACAGCATAGGAAATAGGCAAGAAAACAGTAACAAAGAATATTGATGAGCTTGTTGTGACAAACTCAAAAATTTGCACTTCAAAACCCAGATGCTTCTAAGAAGTCCTATGTTTATTATAGAATTACCGATAGAAACGACAAAAGGGAAAGGCAGAAAAACTCAACCATCTTAGTGCACTATTCTGATCCATTTCCTTGGCTCCAGCAAAATGCTAGAAAGCATTGATGTTTTTTTAGCTTATCAACAAAATGAATTTGCAAAAAGCAAAAGCACAGGATTGGTATTATGAAGACATACAGTTCCAGCAGAATAAATGTCACCCGTTCTAAACCCTCGATTCAGAGCATCCAAAACAGCATTCTCGATTCTTTTTGCAGCACTTTCTTCTCTCAGTCCATACCTCAAAAGCATTGCAGCACTGAGCATTGTTGCCAATGGATTTGCCTTGTCCTGCATATTTCATTTGTAATCTATGTTCTCCCTTTCTCTTTTTCTTTCAAATAAAATTTAATAAAATAAAAACCCTTTTTATTTTGGAGAGAAAATGTTACCTGTCCGGCAATATCAGGAGCAGAACCATGTATGGGTTCAAACAATCCAGGTCCCTGTTTCATGGAAGTTTTAATTGAGCAAAGTGAGATTAATATCTCCTTAATGAAGCCTGCTACAGCATTTCTTTTCAAACTCCCACAAAAA